GGCCAAGGAAGTAACTTTTAATTTTATGTCAGACTGAATTTTGCCTTGTTGAGTGGTGTATATTTTTGTATTCCTGTAAGTATTTATAAACTTTGTTCTCTGACACAGTTCAGTTTTTTGGTAACAATTTTATCCTTTTAAGACGTGTGGTGGGTTTGGAACATTTCTCAGCCTAGAGCTAATTATTCCCCACTTCTGAGGCAAAACCTTTTTATGTTGTCTATCCAGTGCTCTATGAATCATGAAGCTTTCCAGCCTGGCTGGTAGGAATAGACATGGTTCCTGGCCGTTTTGAGCACCAGGCCTGTTTTATCTGTAATTTTCATATGCTCCTTTTACTGGCTTCCTGTCATTTTTTTCACACACCTGGGCTAATCATATTCAACAAAATACTTGAAGGAACCCCTTTGCAGCTTTCTTCTCTCCTGTGCTTTGTTCTGTGAACTCTAGCTTCCTGGTTCTCCATGGACTCTTAAGTTGTCTCTTCACTTTAGGTAATTTGTAATTTGTCTGGTCCCACCTGGTTTCCTTTTTCTGTGTCATGGCCTGGCTACTCTCTTGAGGCAAGCTGGTGTAATTGCAGGGCTCACCTCATTTGTTTTTATTCTCTGTGGGATGCCTGTCCTTTGCCTAGTATTCAGTATTTTAAAAGTCAGTGTTTTATATTGTTTGTCTGCTTTTTACTTTTATTTTTTTGGTTGCTTCAGCCTGCATGATATATGCAATCCTTGTTTGGTCTTGTCCAGAAACAAACAAAAAAAATAGGCTAGTTAACTCTTGAGCACTTGCTTTGCATTAGGCACTGTTATGAATGCTGTACATGTTAAGTAAATTCTCTCAACAAACCTGTGAGGTAGAAACTTCCATCCCTATTTTGCAGGTGTTTAAAATTAAGACATAGGTTAAAAACTTGCCCAGTGTCATGTTTAGGTGGTGTAGATTTTCAATTCAAATTCTGGCTTTGACAAACCAATGTTTTTTAGGCACTTTGTTTTGTTGCCTGCTCACACAGCCTCTTTGTCTTTCCTAATCAAGATAAAATGTTAAAAGTGTAACTCTGGAATAATATGTAAAAATATAAAAATTTTGGTTTGTGGCCGGGCTCGGGGGCTCACGCCTGTAATCTTAGCACTCTGGGAGGCCGAGGCGGGCGGATCGTTCTGAGCTCAGGAGTTCGAGACCAGCCTGAGCAAGAGC